CTCCACTCTCTGCTTGTTGGGTTTCTCTGGCCATTGCTAGCCCAACACAGCCAGCCTCTGCTGTTTCTTGTGGACAGCAGAAGAGTGGCATAACACTCACGTGAGTGCAGGGTTTCAGAGGAAGCTCTGGCTCACTCCATCCTCAAAGCAAGGTTCAGGCTGAAGCCACCACCAGCTTCTCCAAGGCCTGCTTGACGAGCCTCTGCCCTCCCCCTTCATGATGCTTTCCACTTGGCAGTTCCTAATAAACCAAACTTTAAGAAGTGGCCCCTGGAGAGCCCCTGGAAGCTAATTAATGCTCTAATGAAGAGCATGACTGCCTTGTTTGCTTGATGGTTCCCAGGTCAATCAATCTGCTGTAGACAGGCTTGCAAAAAAGCAGCGAGGAGCCCAGCACCCCTGACGTCTGCATCAGTTATCATCCCCTGCCATCCCTCCCCATCCCTCCTCCCATGTTCATTACTGTCAAAAACCCAGCAGCAAGAGGGCAGATTTATAGAGGCGATTGCAGCTTCTCCCTGCGTGCCCGATCCAGGATCAGTCACAAAGGAACTGGACGAGGGACAATGCAAGGATGGAGGGGTGGGAAAATGCATGGGGAGGTGGGTGCACTGAGGTCTGGGCCTGAGGGTGAAAGGGAGGAGAAGGTGCTCTGGGCGTGGAGGTGTTGCCACAGCCTCCTGCTTGGGAGAAAGCCCTGCTTTTTTATTCTGCTGTTGCCACAGAGACTCCCCAGCACTCAGACCCCGGGCCCTCTCAAAGTTCTGCTGAGTCGCCCCCTCACTTGTGCTGCAGGGAATGGCAAGTGTGGTAATGACAATTTAATACACCAGCACAAATCTGCTGAAGCCTCCTTGCCAAAAGAGAGTCCTACCCAGACACCCTGGTCTGGTCAGATTGCAGCACAGTCCCTGTCATGCACTGTGCTGCCAGAGACTGTCTGCTGCCCTTGTCTGAGCCCTGCAGACCACAGGGACATGTACTGCTCCCAGACAGCACCTGCTGTCTCCAAGACTCCATCCCAGAAAACCTGGCAGTGAGAAGCAAGATCCCAGGAGGAGATGGGAACAGAGCCTGCCTGACAGCCCTCAGGTCTCCTCTAGACCCACATTCACCTATCTACCACCTTCCTCCCTCAGGCAGGACTCAGACAGAGCCCAAGTACTGTTTCCCCCCATGCTGCTTGAGGAAGGGGGCAGAGAACAGCAAGGAGAGCTGGCATCCCAGTGTGAGCACTGAGAGCTCAGCCTGAATCCAAGTGATTCCAGGTTCACCTGCATTCAAACAGGAACCACCTGTACCTCTGCTTCCCCTAAAACCTAAGAGATCTGTAAGTGCCAGGGAGTCACCACTCCTGTCCCCTCAACAGACAGGACACAGCTGCCTTGCAGATCAGCCCTGCAAAGCTTGCACGGTGGATGCTCTTCTTCACCTGGAAAGAGGCAAGGAAACGTCTCTAGAAGGGAGAACGGTGGTGAACCCTTGGGGGAAAGGGATGGTGCCCTCCACTATCCCTGATGAAAGAACCAGGTTTTCAGAGGCAGGCCAGATACCACAGCAGAAGGGGAGCCCCAAACACGAGGATGCAGGAGGGGAGCAATCTTCACCCCTGCACTTTGGGCTCACTCCAAGTTCAACCCGCACTCCTGTGCGTGATCTCCTGCCAGCTTTGGTTTCGGGAAAGCAGCTGGCGTGAACTGAGATGTACTTTTATTGTTCCTCCCCCTCTGCTGCAACATGAGCTCACTAAGAAAGAAACAACAGGCAGCTTGAGAGATGGAAGTCAAAAGGAAAGCACTGCATTGGAAGGACATCAAACAGCCACAGACAATCTAGACAGTCAGGTCCACAATCATGCCCAAAAGACCCTCACACCAGGCTGGATTTCTGCCCCAGCCTACAGAAGTTAAAACCCAGCACTTGCCCTAAAGAAGTACAGGTGTCTATCCCTGCAAAGCACACACAAGTTACCTGGGCCTGTGTCTCTACCTGTGCACGACCCCCCTTTGCAACCCAAGGCGTGTAGGCTTGTGTGACGCTGAGGAGCAGGCCATGAAGGGGAGCATCAGATCCCACTGCTGCTGTGGGTGAGTTTTCATGATACCTAAATACTCTATAAGCTGTCACGCATACAGCCAGCACTCTTTATAGGGCATTTCCTCACAATGCCAGTCCTTAGCACAGCTTCATGCCCAAAGGGTCAGGAATGTCACACTCAAAGGCCAAATGTGGCCAGGTGTCATGCAAGATACTTGTGCTATCCTGCCTACAGACCTTGTATACAGAGCTGGGTTAGTACTGCCATTACCTGCCTTATTATTCCTCCCTCCTTCAATATCTACACATTTCATTTTTCAAACACTGCTTATTTCTTTCTGGGAGTAGGAAAGGACTGGGTGTTTCAAGTTGCTGACATTCCCTCAGCATTAGCTGTGGGCCCATAGGTGAAATTACTCTGCAGCCACATTAATACATGCAATTTAAAACCAGCACTGCCACCTCTGCAGGTACCACTCAGCATGGACGACATCTAGAAACACTACCCGCTGGAAGAGTGCCAAGGAGAGACAGCCTGGGCATTGAAACAGCAAACTGACATTCCAGGAGAAGCTCCAGCAACCTATTCCTTGAGGATGGGGTATTTCACAGAGCAACAGGATTAATGAAGCAATTGGGTAGCCACTCTTTTACCTCTCTCACCTGAACACACTTTACAGGCTGACATATATTGATTGCCATGTCTGCACCTGGAACCTGTCAAATAGAAAGGTCACTCTGACAAACAGGGAGCAGGGGTTTAAGAGGAAACTAGAATCCTAACAATCTGGAAACACATTCTGGCTTCATCTGCCAAGAGACCTCCAGACAAGCCTTCTTTACAGTGTCCCTCAGTGGATCAGGAGTGGAGATAGCTCACCCCAACCTTACTGGCATATGGGTCAAGGCAGAAACCCAGGGCTAATGGCAAGGGAAAGCAGAAACCTAGGACCAAGACACCAAATAGCAACCTGAAGTTATCTCAGGTTAAGGTGGATGTAGAGGCACACACAGTGCTCTCAGGTGTTCTGTTGTTTGGGTGCCTCAATGACCCCTTCTGAAGAAGCCCTGGATATTAATCTGAAAACCAGCACCCGCTTCATCAGCACAGGTTTGACTGTGGGGGCTCCAGGACATTCATTCAGAAACGTCTGAGGAAGGCATCTCCCACATCATCCTGGATCCTCTCTGGGGATTATCTAGCCAAACACCTGGCAATGACACAACACAACCTTTTGCAGCCTGCAAAGCCGGAGAGAACCAGAGCAGTCACTGGTAGGACTGCCAGTGTTGCATTCATGTGGAACATCAACCACCCACTCTCAGAGACTGCCTGGGACACGGAAACAAAACACAGAGAGAGTGCAACCACAGTGCTGGGAATGCTCTGAGAAGTTCCTCTTCTCTTCCATCCCCACTTGTGAGCCATAAAGCCTCAAACATTATGCAAGGCTCATTGAACTGACAGCAAAGATCTGTGTCGCAGCAGTTTGTTGAGCAGCTGGGAGACAGGGGAAGTAAAAACCATGGAGACCTAGATGACTTGTTCTGTTAAGGCATCACTTGATGGTTATTGCTCCAGTAAAGAACAACTGGCTGCCAGAGCACAGTTTAAATGTCCTGCTTGCCACCCTGAGCTGTGACACACAGGCTCTCTTCTGGAAGCTGTTATCAAAGATTTCTCTGTCTCACACAAGGGCTGTGAAGAGGCATGTTCCTCCAGGGATCACATCCATTCAACACTGTTTCCTAGGGAAATGAGCTAAAATGATGAACATCACCAACTTGACCTTGCAAGCAGTAAAACATGTATTACAAGGCAGGATAATCAAAACAAATGGAGAAGATTAACCTGGAGATGAGGGCAAGGAAGAGAGAGGGAAGAAGGATGATGGAGAGCTCATGAGGTGCCTGGAGCTCACAGCAAACCCTGACTTTTCTAAAGACATGCTAAGGGTTGGGGAAGGTGGAGAGGAGTGTGGAAAGGGATACTGATGGGAAAAACACAAAGGTCAAGCCAGAAGACAGACCCTACCAAAGAGTCCTTCTGCACAGGAACACAAAAGGAGGAATAGCTTGCACCAAGGACCTGAGCCAATAGTCTTAAGGTGTTAAAAGCCTCACTCCAAACATCAACTCCAGCAATAAGGTCAAGACAGCAATAAACCGTTCATCTCAGTGATGGTGCAGAGCTACCCTGTGACCACATCTCTTTGCACTCTGCATGCACAATAAAGGCATCCCCAAAATACCAGTGACAAGGCCTCACTCTCTCCACTGGCTGTACAGAGAGCATAAGCATCTCGTAGGTTTTCTGACTCTCCCTGCCCCACCAGATACTTGTTGCCCAGCTCCTGCACACTCTGTGTGGGCACCCATGGCCCTGGTGACTTAAAGCCAAAAGGGCTGAGTTTCTGGTGGGGATGAAAGTCAGGCTCTTTGATCACCATCTGCTTTTGAAGGTGCCCCCAGCAGACTGAGAGATGCAGCCAGTTACTAAACAAGAGCTGCAGCACCTCACCTATGGTGCATGTGCACAGACAGGCTTTGCTGAGAACATGTCTTTCTCTCTTCTTTGATCCTGCTTGACCTGTTCCTCTCTTCTCTTTCCTAGGTTGGTCTGCCCTGATGAATGGAGGTGGCAACCTGAAAACCACCTCTGTCTCACAAGAACAGTCCAGAGACTGGACTGAGCTTCAGCCACCTTGTTTCCCAGAAGAAAACCCTATAAAGAGCATACAAGAGGCAAGGAGAGGACCCAGTTCCCCAGAGATGAATAAAGGAACTCCAACGTATCTGTGGCTGAAGAGCTGAGCAGTTCCACCTGAGTCATCTACAAGTGTGAGACGTCAGTCACAGCCACAAGAGCAGTCCTAACTCAGGAGAGACCACTGCAGCACTGGTATGTACCCTATGCCCACAACACCCTCCCCCAGCCCTTCTCATGCACTCCTGGCACTCACCTGGCCGCAGGACCCTGATTTCCAGCAGGTTGGAGGTCCTGTCCGCCAGCCTTGTCCAGCTGCTGTTGTAGTTCTTCCTCCAGAGCTCAGCCACGCACTGGTACTTGCCGGCCTCTGTGTCGCTAGCCCGGCTGATGCTCAGGCGCACGTTGTTGGACGACTCAGCCTTCTCGATGGCGGTGCGGGTCCGGAAACCCAGGTACCTGTCACCCCACTGCACCCCGCCGTCGCGCGTGAAGGTCACCAGGTCGTGGAACTCGGTACTGCCCGCTGGCTGGAAACGCCACGTCACCGACACCGGCACCCAGGACGGGTAGTGGGGCTTGATGATGCACTGGAGGTCAAAGGATTCGTTGTAGGTGACGCCGGGGGTGCGGGAGATGGCTGTGACAGCAAAGCCGGCCTCTGTGGGAAGAGAGAAAGGGGCTTTGAGAGACGCCTGCCTAGGGAGGCCCTGCTGTTAGCATGCAAAAGCTAGAGCGTGGTCATCCAGCTGAAGGCCTGGAATAATCAGCCGCCCGTGCTTGTGTTGTGTTGGCTTCTCACTTGCAAGTGCAAAGTGGCATGAAAAACAGTGGTGAAAACACACTGAAGTGCCTGAACAGCAGTGACTGCCTGAACAGCAGTGATTGCCTGAACAGCAGTGACTGCCTGCCTGAGCACTGGCTGCAGCATTAGGAGGACTGTGCTCGATTTCTGCCCAGAGGAGTGGGATCCCCCGAGACTCGAGGGCGGCTGGCCAGCCTCTGCGGGCTGCCAGAGCTCCATATGGAAACGCAGCAGCACGGAGGTAAGGGAGCAGCACCTGGCAGAGGAATTACCCAGCACCAGCCTGGCCGCTCTCAGCCCCTGTGATTCACATCCCACCCTGTCTCCCACCCCAGGCGGGCAGCTGGTTGCTGCAGATGAATGAAAAATGAGGAAAGAAAGAAGCAGCAGCCTTCATTCATGCATCATAGAGGTGGCAGTGGTTACAAAACCCCAGGATGGAGGGAAATGAAAGAGAAGCTGGTTGCTCCTGTTCTTCCCACAGCACAGCTTTTGTTCTCTTCCGGATCACAGCTCCAGGACAGTTTCATGCAGTTATCCTCTCATGTCTGCCACTCTGCAGGCCAGTCAATACACTTTGACTTGTCTAGCCCCAGCACTTTGTTTGTTTTGGGGAGTTTAGATCAGCAGTCCTTTAGTAATTTGAAGATAACATCTTCCCAAGTTAGTCAACTGTAAGCCAGTCAGGCTGACATTTTGGGTCAGAATATTTCCATTGCTCATTTGTGCCAAGCTGCAGAGAGAAATATTTTCTTCTCTTCCAATCACTTCAGTGTAGCCAGCAGACTAAGCAGGGACCTTGCTTTCTTTTGCCAACATCCCCAAGCAGCGCTCCCTTTCTGGGAAGCTCCGTGGGGTGTCCCACATGGGCTGACAGTTCTTCCCCCCCTCTCCCTGCAGTGTTGACTATCCCAGCTCCCACCACAGCTTCTGCTGCTTGGGGAAACCCCAGACAGTGCCCAGTAGGAACAGGAACATTTTCTGATCAGCATGTGCAGTATCTGCACGCTTTCAGCAAGTGCCTCTGCAACTCCACGGTGTCACCGTGCCAGAGCTCCAGGACGTGTAATTGCTGAGAAAACAGGTCAATCTTGGGATTAAAACCTCTCACAACATGTTCAGTGATCCCCCAGGAGAGGAGAGCGAGACCCCAGGCTGTCTCCCCTGCAGGACTGCTCTGCCTCATCGCCACAGAATCCCTTACTTTCAGATCCTCCTGCCCCAGCATGTGTGTTACCAGGCCCAGCTCAGAGCACCACAGAGCCAGTGATGGACCCAGAAAGCCAACTTAATTTCACCAAGACCAGCTGACTTCAACAAGTGTAGTCACCAGCTGGCCTGGGCAAGGAAGCTTCATGAAGAGACTTTCACACAAATGCTGTGTGAAAGCCAGGTGTGTTTCTCAGGTCCTCAATTCCACCAACACAGTCATGGTACTTAGGTTAACAGGCAATGGACAGATTTTCTGTAACACCTCCCTACTAGAATACATCAGTCTCCTGTCCCCTCCTTCTGTGGCTTGCCAGCGACTGAAGGCCCTGCCATGCACTCCAGATCCTCAAAAGTTCGGGGACATCTACTCTCATCTGACAGCACATCTATCTTCTGGCTATTGCTTCTGAGCCACCCTGTAGACAGATTTATGGGTTTGAACAGCATCTGTGCTGGTTCAGCTAAAGAGTTTCTTACCCTGGCAGACTGGCAAACGATTAGACCTTAACTTGAAATGTTGAGTGTCACTAAATTTACTGCTTTTTTTTTAACTAGCAATTTCTGAAGCCATAAACCTTTCCCGCTCTTTCTTAGCACCCTGCATTTGAGTATCTCAGGACATTTCAAAAACAGCATGCTGAACAAAAAATATCAGATTCAGCAACAGTGAAACAATACTCAGTAGTTTCTCTGTTATATTTTTACGAGCTACTTTAGCTTTGCTAGTTATAGAAAGGGACCTAGGAACTTCTTAGGACTTGACAGAACATGCTCAACAGCCAGTGATTTCTCCGGGATGAGGAGTGGAGGATGAGGGACCTTTCCATCGCATCTTCTGCAACTGCTGTGCAATTCTGAGCATCTTAAACTTTAACAAGAGTAAAAATGTCACATTTAAAAATCTCATTACTTAATCTCAACACTGCTTCAGGTGGCAGAGTAAAGAGAAGGGGTGATACTTGGGACTTGTACGGGGCCAAATGCTGCTGACCTCATGAGAAAGATATTATTGAAACCAGACAAGAATTTGCCTGTAGTTCTTTACAAATGAACATCCCTACCTGCTTTTGGAATCTATACAGAAAAGATTTCTAGCTACAGACAAAACAGCCTCCGAAAGAAGGTCAAAAGTGAAGGGGAGGAAAGGAGGAAAAAAAGCAAGATTTTAATCAGAATACTATACAACTTTCAAGTCTGGTCTCATATATCTTGTCAAAGCTTAATACTACAGAGAACCAAAAACTACACAAAATCCCCCAAAATCCTATCTTGACCTTTTAATAGAGCTCCCAGCATCCTGCAAATCAGTGGCCTCATAGAAGAAGTCATCCCTTCTTCAGTCTCCTGAAAATCACTTTGGGAACTAGTCCAGGACTTAATATAGCAAGGCCAGAGTAGGACAAAAGTAATTCACCATCCACTCAAAATCCCTACTGCCCTACCTGCCCTCTCCTAAACTGATGTGGTTTCACTGTGTTTGAAATGGAGGAGCCCCTTGGCAGAGCAGAGCCCCAGCTGCAATGATTCCAGGCACTAGTTCACCTTGGTCACGGACAATGTTGCAGTTCTGGACCAGCAGCTCAGTGCTTCCTTGCAGAGGCAGCGAGGACCATTCCTGTCTCAGGCTTTCTGAAGGCTTCTGGTGCTGTCACAGATGCTCACCATTTTCGGTGGCTGGGCCAACGCCCAGCATTTTCCTCTCTTGGTCTGGTGAGCAGAGGTAAGGTTTACTCGGGGCAGGCAAGGAGGCTTTGACGGCCACAGGCTGCCAGCGGAGCACCACCACTGCACTGACCATAGCCTGGCTCCAATGCTGGGGGGACACGACACGGGACTGGCAGCCTCTGCCCTCCTAAGCCACCCCTGCTTTGCTCCTGCCAGCCACAGCCACCCCTCAGACTCTGCCCCCACACGCAATGGTGCATGTTTTGCACCAACCTACCAGGAGCTGGGTACCTCCATTCTGCTGCCAAGCAAGGGCAAGTGCGCCGAGAGCAGCCCCAGTTATTTGCAGGTGACCTTCTGTGGGACAGCCAGGCACGGGGGAACACGGCCCCACGGCCCCCCGTGCCTCAAGTACTCACCCAGAGCAGTGATGGACACCGGGGTGCCCGCGTGCCGCTCCCCAACCATCTGCCACTCCCCATCCAGCGTCCGCGTCCACTCGGCCACCCGGCACTCATAGTGGCCCTCGTCCGCCTTGACGCTGTTGAAGATCTCCAGGGTGAAGGAGCCGGGCCGGACCTGCTCTACCTGGATGCCCCCGTAGCTGCTGCGCTCGGCGTACGAGGGGCCAGGGTGCAGGGTGCCCTCCCGATCCAGACGCACGATTTCGCTGCGCCGGTTCAGCTTGTCCACCAGCTGCCAGGTGACGGAGAGGCGGCTCTGGGGCCCGAAGCCCGAGCGCACGTTGCAGCCAAAGCGCAGGCTCTCTCCTTCCAAGACATTGCTGGCGTTGTTGATAATCTCCAAGGAGATGCTGGTCTCTAAGGAGAGAAACGCATACACACACACGGGAGATGACACACAATCACCACTTCTCGGGCTGCAAGAAGGACGCTGCTGGCCAGAGACGTTTTCCACCAGGTGCAGGAGACTGCCCACACATTTGGGTCCAGGCATGTTTTAACCTCATGCCATGTTTTAACCACATCCAAAACCGGCCTGTGAGCAGCGAGCTGCTCCTGGTGACTTGCACACTCAAAGCAGGTGTAGGCCAAAGCTGGGAGCCTGCGGCTCATGAGACATTGCCGTGTCTTCTGGTCACAGGTCCGGGATGGGATCTCAGCAAAACTTGAGGGAATTTCTGTTGCTACAATATGCACTGCATGCAACTGGCTCTGTCAAAAAAAAAAGCTTCCAGCTCTCAGGGATTTTCAATTCATGTCACCCTGGTCACCATCTTGCTACATCCGTTCCTGTAACACCTTCTGGGAGAAGCTCTCCCAAAATTGCCACAGCTAGTGACACTACTGGTAGCTATCACTGTTTGGTAACATTTAAAAAAATATCTGGTATCCTGAGCTTCCCAGAGTGGTAAGGCTTTATGGCTGTTTTTCAGAGATACTGAGTGCTGGTTACTCCTGCTGTCTTCCGTTGGAGTTTTGGACACTTAGCATCCTTGAAAAATCATCACATTTGTTCCTAAGTCTGGTGATTTATCAAATGGCAAGAATGAAGTCTGTCTGAAAGATGGCTGTGCATAGAAGCACTACATTTTAGACACTTGTCCAGTGCAAGATTTCTAGCTAGAGTAATTTTCAAAGCCAAACAAATGAGACCAAATATTGGTAGGAGAGAAAAGAAATAGAATTTCTCTTGGAGAAATGAGGAAGAGGGGAAAAAAGCTAAAGGAAAGGGCTGCATTTCCCTACAAACCTAAGAGATAGGAGACAAATATGGCACAAAATCCTCTTTCAGCTACCCTTTGTTTGGTCAAAGCCCACTGCCACGGTGGCCCGGGCAACACGTGCATGGTTCATCATGCCATGGCTACCTGAATTCCACAGAGCAAAACAAGGAATGAGTCAGCAGACCCTCTCCCCTTGATCTTGTTATTTCTGTATTTATCACGATTGATTTATCATGATTTTCTGACAAACACAAAAGGCATTCAGGCAAGACTCCAGCAGCTTGTTTTCATCAGAGTTGGCTGACACACGGTGACCAGTACAGAGCTCCTTGCAAAGAGTATAGGGGCTCAAGGAACACACAAACCCTGGTTTCTCCCCGTACAGCCATCTTGCCAGACAGCTGAACAAACACCACTGAACAGCCTGCAGGAACTCAGCAGCTATTAGGATAAACCAAGGCCAAGCCAGTCTCCCCATTAGGCCTGCTGAATACTTTAGAGCACCCAGCTCGCTGTGGAGTAAGGTGAGGAGAGAGGTGTGAGGAGCAAGACAGAGGTTGGCACATGTACCTTCAGCTCAAGGACAAAACTGCCAGCTTGGCTGTGGGCATGACTGCCCACTACGAACCTGACACATACCCTTCCATACCCTTTTCATACCCTTCCAACAACAAAAATAAATCTTGCCAGTTGGAATTCCAAGCCTCCACGGCACGCAAACTCTTATCCTCCCTCTGCCCCACCACCATTGTCTGGGCACATCACGGCTTCACCAGCTGGCTGCCCAGGTCAGCACTGTCCCCAGGAGGGGATGGGCATGTCTCTACTTACTGAGAGGCATAACAGTGATGGGGATGTTCTTTGGCCGCTTGCTCTCCTTGTCGATGAAGTCCCCTGTCACAGTCTTCTCCCGCTCGGTCACCCGGCAGTTGTACTTGCCGCTGTCCTCGAGGCGGAGGCGGTAGATCTTCAGCACAAAAACACTGTCGCTCTCTTTGGCCACCTTCAGCTGCCCCAGGGCCTCGCGCTGGGCAAACTCGTTGTTGAGCACTGGCACGGCGTTGGGCCCCAGGCTGGCGATGAGGGAGCTGTTGAAGGCCCAGGAGATGGAGAAGTAGCGGTCAGGGATGTTCTGAGCCTCCAGGATGCACCGGAACTCCACCGGCTCCCCCACGATGTACATCCGCTTCTCTGTCTCCAGCCGGACGCTGAACTCCTTATCTGGGGAGAGACATCTCTCATGCATCAGCACAGCAAAGCCCATCAGGAGAGCCAGCACACCTCACGTGAGGCGTTTACAACTTGCTACTCCCTCTGTGGCCAACATCCCTTGGACATGCACATCCATAGGTGAAAGGGTTTAAGGGCTTGCTTTTGCTGTGAGGGGCCAGATGGGCCATTGCTGTCAGAGAGGCAGCTTCCTGCCTAGCAAGCAAAGAGCTGCGAGGCTTGCCCAGTCACAACCCTTCCCTTCAGCCTTTCCTCCTGGGAGCAGCTCTGATGTGACAGCAGCATTCAGCAGTACTGTGGAATATGACCTGGAGCCTAGTCCTAACTCACACCCTGCTCCGCTGGAGTCAAGAGGCAGAGCCTTTGGGGATATCACAGAGGAAGAAAGAGCTCAGCTGGATCTTTAGATCCTTAGCAGGAACTGTGCTGTGGGCTAGAAGGATTTTAACTTGCAAATGGACCTTGTGCAATACAGAAGTGCTTGCTGAAAAGTTTTAGTTTTATTTCCTGCTATGACACTCCTACCTCTTCACTTACCAAAATTCTCACTGTCTGTGCTAGCACCAAGTGCTTAAGGCGTATGTTTTAGCTTTTGTATCAGGCCCACATCGCTGACCAAACCAGCAGATACCCAGGCCACCCAAGCCCCCTTGCTGCCCTGGTGTCCCCTGACTGGTCTTTGCTGACATTTGCCGTGCCCCCAGGCAGTGCTTGGGCTCTCCTTTGCCCTGCTGCACCCAGCCAGCAGCCTCACAAGTGGGGCACACGGCAAAGCAGGAAGCCAAACCCCAGCCACCTAACAAGGCACAGACCCTTTTTCCACCTCCTCCCACCTCCCAGCCCAGTGAGAAAAGGCCAAGGAGACACTCACCAGTGGCTTGCACGTTGACGATGGTGCCCTGGGAGCGCTTGCGGGTCATGGCGTACCAAGAATCGTCCGGGTCCTGGATCCACTCCGCCGCCTCGCAGTAAAACTCTCCCTGATCTGACGGGTGGAGGTTGTAGATGGTGAGCTTTGAGGTGGTCTCCCCAACTTTGTCCAGGCGAACGTCCCCTGTGGCCTGTCGCTGGGCGTAGGCGCTGCCGGCCCGCAGGACGAAGTCGCGGCTGAGGGAGATGACCTCCACGGGCGCCTCGCTGCCGCGCTGCCGGTACCAGGCGATGGAGACGTGGCTGTGCTGGGCTGTGCTCTTGGACACCTCGCACTTCAGCTCCAGGGAGTCATGCTCCACTTTGTTCAGTGTCTGCGGCACTGCCGTCACTCGCAGCGAGTCGGGGATCACTGCAGCCAAGGGGGACAGGGAAACACAGCCCCGGAGTCAGCAATGCCAAAATGCAGAGTCTAAAGCCCAGACACACTAAAAGAGAGCTGGGATTTCTTTCTTTTCTGGGAGTGGTAACTAATCATTATGTATTAGCAAGGCCCTGTTATCTCACATCTAGCCCCCAAAAAGAGGGGAATTGCCCCCAAAGCCATTAGCTTGGAAAGACCACAACCTGCTGCACATACTCCAGTGCAGTGCTCAAATTCCTGCTCAGTGGGCCCCAGCAATTGAACAGAGCTTTCCATCACACTATAGAGCACCACAGCTCCACTTCCCATTGAGGTATTTTGCCATGAGCAGCCTCCCCTTCATCATGTGCCCCCAGCATGCTCTGTGACCCCACTCTTGCCCACATCCTTCAGCCTCTCCTTAGCCCTGGAAAGGTCTTTGCTCTTCATCATCAGTGGGGCCAAGTTGAATATACTTAGTTTCTTTAATCTTCTCTCATAAAAAAGTCAGGAGGTCCAACTCCCCTCTCCTTTGTTTATATCGTTTCATCTTTTAATGACCCCCTCAGGCCAAATGAAGGGGTTTCTGCATTCAGAGGGAACTGGCTCCTCTGAGGGCAGCAATGCAATTGCATCCTGACCAATGCCTATTCCAGGGACACAGCTATGTCAAGGCACTTGGTAATAAAACTGCTGGCTACTTTTCCAGTTGATTAACCAGAGGAAAGGAAGTACAGCTGTTAAAATCAGGATGAAAACAAAAATTGCAGCCCCTCAACCTTGCTTGATTTTAGCAAGAGGTTCTTCTGCCACCAGAAGATAAGACTTAATTTTTATAAAGAAGCCTTTCCAGACTTTTGCTGTCTCAAGAAACTTCATGTGGAAAGAAAGAATGTAAAACTTCTCCCCAGCTCTGCAGATGAGGCAGTGTTAGCAAGCCTGTTAATGCCCATGGTTTTGCCACGTACCAGTGGAATATAATTAACATATCTCAGTTCAGTTTCATTGACAGCACTGGGTGGTTTGACAAAATTAGCTGAGCTGCCAAAAGCTGCATCTGTTTCATTCAGGCACTGCTACAGAAAGCAATGAACTGCAGTGAAGACAACCACTGGGATTATTTATGGCAGAAAAGTCAAAAACAGAAGAGAGGAAAGAAAAAAGGCATGAGTTTGGAGTAAACAAGAGGGAAATCTTCTCGCACCCAGCCTGGATGGAAGCATTTGCTTTTACCACATGTTGACTACCAGGTTACTGCCCCTGTCAGTACCTTTGTAAGGTTGTTCACATCGCAGGCTACTGCCTCTGTCCCAGTGGCCACATCTCCTACTCCCTCCCTTCCCCTCGTCTGGAGCCCCTATCCCCTGCTCCCTGGCAAGAGCTTCTGGCAGAGCACGGCCAGGATCCTGCTTGCTTCACCTTTCCCCCTTCCCCTGACTCCCAAGCCAGTGGTGACAGCAGCAACTAACCTTGACAGTTCACACTGCCTGCACAATAAACTTTAAACTTCTCATTTCAAACCTCATTGAATAATTTCCAGAGCTGCACAGCTCCTTTCTCTTTGCCCTCCAGCCACGAGCTCCTACAACTTTCCTTATGTTATTTAAATAAATTAAACCTGATCATCATCTTGCTGAAGTGACTCTCCCGCTGAGATGCTTTGAAGGCAGAGTTCCCTGCTACACCAGCCTCCACACAACAGCTTGGGAGGTGAAAGCGGGTATCTGTGAAGTGTGCCTGCTCTCCTTCCCCCCAATCTGAGAGCCTTGTGCACCCCACCAGTTCCCTGTGTGCCCCCCAGCCCTGCTCAGCAGTAGAGCTGCTCTCTGGGGAAGCACAAGGCAGAAAGCAGAGAGCAGCTGATCCCAGAAGCCTGCCTGGCCCTGCAGGACAAGCCAGGTCATGCTCGAGTAGGGGCCAGGCACTTGGCTTGCCAGACTCGGAGCTGCCCGTCCCTGGGAGTAACGCTGGGAAGCCTGTCTGAAGGCTGGGCCGTTCCCTGAGCAGACTGGAGGTTGGCATGGGTGTCATTTTGCCAGCTGGAACCATAACTTTGGATTTCCAGGTCATAACCTGGCTGGAGGTAGCATCTTTTGTACCACATGGGCAAGTTATTGCAAAATGCACTCGTGGAAAAGAATCAGGAGGTGTCAGCCTGTGGTTAAAGGTGTAATTTAACTGTGGGAATGCCTGACACACTGTGCTGCATTCCTCCTGCTCTTTTGGTCAAAAGAGTCAATCAAGATCCTCCGGGTTAGAGGAATCTGTGAGAGCTTTTGGGTTGCACGTAGCCTAGAGGCAATTGTCTTAAACCAGCCTGGCAAAAACACACGTTCAGTCGGTGTCACCTTCTTAATCAGGAGGACTAGAGACCTGCTGGCTAAATGAAAGCCCATTTTCCAAAGGGTCAGATGATCAGGGAGGGACAAGCCAGAGTCCTGAGGTGGCTGGGCCAGAGGGAAGGCTCTGTGCTTCACACCACCACTCTCACGCTTGGCCAGTGATGCACTGACAACTGTTTTATTTACACTGCGAGACACAGCTCGGGCAGTAGGTTTGGGGAGGGGGGAAGTTGGCAGGAGAAAGAGGAAAATGCTATTCTCCAAGGACGTCACAGCTCATTTCAGATGCCCAATGAGTATTTCGTTCTGAATGCTACAGAGCACTGGGGACTCCCACAGTGAGGACACAGGTCTGCTGGGACCCACACACCACCCCATGGCAGAGATCCCACTGGCCTGCACCAACAAGAGGGCTACAGGCATGGTGTAACCCATCAGGTTGGAATGGGCCACGTCTGGAAGTCACAGAGAGGGAAGCAAGCAGGGAACACTGCAAAAATGCTCACTAGAGTGGGACGCAGCATTATCAGAAGAGAAGTTCCTTCCAAGCTAGTCGCCCTGTTTAGGCTTCAGAGACACCCTTTGCATATCAGGACACGAGTAATTCTTTGCATGGTGCTCACCTGGGAGCCCTGGCTCTGCTGCCAGCCATCACACTGCTGAGCTGCCCACACACTTATCCTGCAGCCACCTGCCACAGAAGAACCAGGTTTTCTGGGGACATCCTGTAAGCTGAACTTCACTTGAAAGCAACTTGGTAAGCTCAGATGAGAGGCGCTTCACTGTGTGAAGGGGAGCAGAGCCACATCTAAGTCCCAGCCAAGAGGGATGCTGCAGGACATATCCTTTTGCCCACTCTTTCTCACACAGCTCCCGCCCGTTTCTCCCCTCTTGTCCAGGTGCCACCCAGGCAGCCTCCTCTGCACTTCCCCCAGCATCCAGCCTTGCTTCCTCCTTGTCCTCCAACCCAAGTCCATCCCTGCAGCTGTCATGACCCTCCAGATGTGTCAGAAGAACTCTGTTCTCTCTAGCACCAGTGTTAGATTTGGCAGCAAGTGGTTGGACAAGGAGATGAACAACTGAAAAGCAATTTCTGGGAGCAAACCTACTGCGCTATTGCCATCCCAGATCCAGTCACAGCTGACAGGTTTGAGCTTGTACTTACAACACTGAAGAACAAGAAATACAGCACTTCCTATTAGTCCCCAAGCCACAGGTCACTGCAGAGGGCACTGGGATAGATACTTGGTGCTAAGTACAGGGTGCTCACAATCACTGCCAAGTTTTGAAAGCTCCTGAAATATTAAATATAAATATTTCCACTAGAGGGTGTCAGGGACCCAGCCAGAGAGAGTCCCAGGGCCCAGCTGCCAGGACAAGGAGCGGAGAGCCTGGAGACGCTCCCCTCTCACCAGGGCATCCCTCCTCAGGAAGGCTGCACACCCAGCTCCAGTCAAACCCACCTCCAATGCACACACTTCACAATCAACAAGCATTTGGTGAGCTAATTATGGCTAACTTTGGGACAAAGAACTGGCTTACAGTCTCTCAAAACACAGGCAGGGAACAGAATGGAGTTCCCAGGTGCAGACTTGGTGCACACCTCAACACTCTTTCCTTTGAGCCCCATTTCCAGCAGCTCCAGGTGCCACGCTGAACTCTGCCCACGCAGACAAAGATGACCCAGGCATCTCCCTCCTCCCCAGGCTGGCTCAGGTTCATCCTTGGGTATCCAAAATCCCAACCAGCTCCAAGAGGTAGGCTATCAAAGCTTCTATGAGCCAGACACAAACCAGAGAGCTACCAGCATCTCATCTAGTCCCAGGCAAGGCAGCAAACCTGCCTGAGATGCCGTTTCCTTGCTAAGCGATGCAGGGGGAGCGTCAGGCTGGGAGCCAGAGGCTCTCCTGCTCAAGCTGGTAAAACAGTGTTGTGAAAATCACTTAGCACCATGGTAGATTTACGCTGCAGGCTCCTCAGGAGTAAAACAATTTAGACAGGCTATCCAATACAGCTGGACCATCTCAGGGCTACTGCAGGAAAAGCAAAACCCACCAATCTCTTCTTCCCTTGGATTTTGTTATAGCTTTTACTCATCGATACACTTTTGAGACAGTCTATGGTGCTACCCTGTGTCCTCATCTGCAAACTTCATACTGCCTGGACAGAGCTAAGCTTACCAAAATCAAGCATGAATTATTTAGGAAGAACAAATACATATATTCCCTACTCCTAAGCAGCTGCTTCTGGCTAAAAAATACTGCTCTTGATTTCGCAGGGAATTAGCACAAGAGTTATGTTTCCGTCCGCCCCACAACATGTTGTTGTCCTGCAGGAATCACAGCCCAGCACCACGAATCTTCTTCCCAGCCCCTGTGGTTGCTGGGAAGAGGGACAGCTCAAGAGGAACAGCAATGCCAGAGCCACACTGGTGAGCCCAGAGGAGAGCAAAATGCACCAAATGGCACCTGACTGGCAATGTGGGTGGGAGGGTGAGGCACAGGGACACAACCTTTTGTTACTAGCCTCTGCAATCTGCTAACCCTTCTGTGGCCACCCATGCCAGGGAAGGAGGGAGGGTCTGCCACCAGAACCACCCTGATGCCATGGGAACAGCTGGAAGGGCTCTGCTGTCTCCCAGTCACTGCAAGCTCTCAGTGAGCCACA